AATTATTTTTTATAGGTATTCATTCAAATATATTCCAAAATGGCGAATATTGAATTATTGACACCCCATTGGTTCTCAATTTAATAAAGCGCGGCATTCACAATCAATTAGTCAGCATTTCGTTTTGAAACTGGCATTATTCGTGTAAAAGCTTACTGTGCGCGCCCTTCGACGCCGGGTGCCTTTTGAGCTTATTTTTTACATATTTTTTTCATAATAGGGGTAATATAAACGTGTTGGGTCCGACACCTTGGAGGACCCCACAGGCCGCCGCATAATTTGTGGGATAATAAAATATAATAATTCCCCGGCCCCGACTGTTACTGTCGACGGACTGAGATGATTCGATGACGTTTTTTGTGTTGTCTATGATTGTAGAACGAGTTGTATTTATGTTTTAATTTGAAGTGTGTTGTGACGGAAATGGGATGCGCGGTGTGATTTGAATTAGGAATTGGAAGGGTTGGAGTGTTGCCCTTTAAATGTAATTCCGATTGATTTGAGAAGATGATTTTTATTTTTCTGAACAATTAATTAATATTCGTGTCGTTATTTGATACTAAAATTTAAAATCGGTTTTTTAAATGCTTTCTTTCAGCGTTTTTACGTTGATAAGTTCTTGACGACACGGCTACTGATGATGTTCCCTGCCTACCCAGCGTGTCTTCAAGCCTACCACGGTTGAGCTCCATCACATCACGGTCTAAAAGCCATATCTGTTCATTATGTACATAATTACAAGTACATACATAACATTAGTAGGTACAATCGTAAATATAGCAATCAGCAGTAGTTTAGATTGCATCTCAGTAATAACTCTAATGTTACAATATATGGCAACGTTTGTATTATGTATACTTATGTACTGGTATCTGGTTATTTACTACGGTAAATCTACGCATTATCATTATTACGACCTTGTAGGGAAGCTCGATTTTGTACACAATCACTGGCTATAGTACAATATTGTATAGTTACGTACCTATCTGTCGAATAATTACATATTTTTGGATTGAAAATTGGCACTTAGATAGCCATTTGAAATGTAGAAATTGAATTGAATTATTCTGGTTTAGATAAGAAGTCGAGTTGAACATTCATCATATATTATGTAAATGTTTTCAAAATTGAATGATAGGGAGGTATTTATTAGAGGAAAACAATTACAAGTTGTTTTAAAGTACTAAAGTTTTACAATACATTGCCTACGGATAACGGCGCGGAGAAATATTTGATGCATAACGATCTGTTTCATTTCAAAGCATGTTTCATACATAGGCATAACTTAAATGAGTGTGAATTAGTTAGTACCTACTTTGAGCTTTGACTACATGATTGCCTTAACATAATTTCTAAAGCTCGATTGAGCTTTTGAAGAATCTTTTTTATGTTATCTACGCAAATACGCATAAACACATTGATGACAAGTAACTATTTTTCTTAAGTTTTATTACTCTACAAAGAAACCTTTACCCATTAAACTCTTTACAAAAGAAGAGCTTCTACATCCTCATAATTATAATGTATATATCTCATAAGATACTCATTCATATAACTCTCTAATAATCATATAAGCATTACCCAAGTCTTCTAATGTCCCGTAGTGAACAGGGGATGTGTAAAAAAATATTATTTCCGTTCATACACAAGAAATGACTTCCTCAATCAAGCGCTCAGTGTTGCCAATGACAAATGACCATTTTGTTACATGTTAATCTCGTAACATATGGAGCATAGACAATTCCCGCCTTTTCTATTTCGAATTTCGAAGCGTTTTTTTCTTTCGCCTGTTAATCGTAGTGATGTCTTCTTTTGTGCCAGCACAATAGGTTTTTTGCAAAGTCCGTGTAAATTAGTGTATGGAGTTTTTCGAAAAGGATCGCCTGTTGAATGATGTTTGATACTTTGGGGGTCTTTAAGAGCTCATTGATTTGTTCTGTTGCTGCATTAAGTGGTTAATTCTCATAAATAGCGTTCGTTATTAGTGAATGGGCGTAAATTTAAAATGCATTTGGGGTAAATTGGATTACAAGGGGCTCTGTGGTAACTGTGAACGTCTTTTGAAGTTTTTCTGTTATGTCATGAGTTGTACTAATGATGCTTGTGAATATTTTAGAAAAATATGTGGCACTTTATTGAAAGTATGGTATGTACTTACTTACGCAATAGACTGGTTTACTTATTCTATAATATTAATGTTCTTATTACACGTCATGATTAAGTAGGTATTGTCATCAATTCAACTAAGTACCTACATTTCTAGAAGAATACAATAGACAATATAACAATTACGTCACAAAATTATTTCCAAAACTATTACAACCTTCGCAGATTCATTAATACCAGAGACAAATTAAAAAACAAAAAGTTGACGCACGCTAATGACAGAGCGCGGGCGCGTTCGGTTCAGGGATCATTCAATTACAAGTCGCCGCTCTGTAATCATACCACAATCATCTATTTCGGCATAACACTTGTGTTTGTCGATGGTCGACGTCTTCATCGATAACTATCTATGGTCAAATTGATATTGCATTGTTGATTTCGTGTGGGCTTGTGGAATTGTGGGACAACTTTGTTGAATCGTAATATTTGGAAAGATTTAAAAATGATCACAATCTGGATTCTTATAGCAATATTTCCTCTGCCTCTTGATTGCATTTAATGTAAAAATTGTCCTGTGTGATATTGTTTGCTGTATGGTGTACATGAAAAGATAAATAAAAAAAATCTGGTTTCTTTTTATAGTTTTACTAGAAACTATATCTATAGATGTGAAATTACATAGGTAATATCACGCTTTATATTTTCTGAAAGAGTAAACAGTGTCTAATTATCGTACCGTTGTAAATGGACAGGAGATTGGAGATATTTAAAAATGCCATAATATTTTTAAATTCAAATCAACTATTGGAAATCTTAGTACATACACCTACTATAATTATAATTAAATTATTTAAGTAAATGTGACACCGTGGGTTTAAACAATTGTTTAAACAATTAAAAACATAAAAAGAACAAAATGTTATTTGTGAGAACAATTAAGTTATTAACTTGATAGCTATATAACTTTGAATAAATATGTTATTGTCACTAAACCTATTTAGGTTTATAACTAATGGAAACTATTAAAAACATACATATTATATTTGTTATTTTATCTCGATGACGGTAAAAAGTAATTTTCGAATCTTAATTACTTACACCGGTATTTACGAACATCTGCCTTAAGACTTTATTGTACGTTAGACGTTCTATTATTGTTTATTATTGACGTTCACAAGCACATTATGTCAGTTATTTAATGTAAAGAAAATTTCTAAAACAAAAGAACGAAATCTGTCGCTTTTGTCAAGTCGTAAGTGTGATTGCCGTTTACGTATGGCAGGTTAAGATTAAATTCCAATTCAGCTAAAAGGCAGTATTTTTATTGATGTTACAGTATTATAGCTTACCTACGTATATTAAAAAAACCATCATATTGTCTACAGTAAACAATAAAAAAATGTCTACAGAAAAGACATTGTCTACAGGAAAGATAACATCATTGTCGAATCAGTATTGATTGATTTTCGTCAATTTTTGAACATAGGCAGATACATAATACTGTACATACTATCCATAATATGATACTAAGCTGACATTTGACATATACCTAGGTAATAAGTTAGGTACAAATACAAACGTGACCATTGAAATACCTATAATTCGTTGTATACCCCGAAGCATGGTACACTACAATCATCAAATACATATTAACTGGAATAGGATTTACTCATCGCTAATGACATTTCAATCAAAAACGAATAAATATAACATTATTTAACTGAAGTGGTTTCGTTAGACATAAGTATATATGTAACTATTTATTTTACAGCTTGAATAAAAAATGATATTTTGAACTGTATGCTTTTCAATCATCCAAAAGGAATATTTTTGGTTATTACTTTGTTTTTCTACTTTCTTTTAATAAAAACACGATTTTTAAATGCCAATAGTAGTATAATATATCCTCTAGGATTTGCAAACAAGCAAATGGATCATCAGACAACAGAACTACTCTAGTGCTAGGTATAATTCTATTCTCAGAGAGAAGGAACAAAATTCATTAGACATTACTTAGGTAAGTACAAATTGTCGTATGCCTAGGTGGACTTTAAAGTTCTAATTAAAACTCAAACAAGTGACTGACGATCAACCAATTAGTCTCCAATGCCTGCTAATTAGTGCAATTAATCCGCTTATAACAATACATCAGCATTGCAACCGACCGTCAATTCGAATCCCAGCCGGGCAATCATGCTCCGTGCCAAAATGGACGAAGGAACGTTTAGTTTATTTATGTACCTACTTGATTTATATTAATTTTGCTATAAATATAAGTCGTAATTAACGTTTGTTTAATTATGATAACTAATGATAGGAAGAAGTATAATAACTCGAAAATCAACTGATAGGATGAAATTAGCTGTATCATGAAATATTGAAAGTAATAAGTTCTAGTAATTAGCTGCAGGTAAGTAATTTAAAATAATTAGTAAATGAGGACAATTTTTGCAAACATTTTGTATGATCATATAATACATATTTTTCAACTGTAATATCATACGTAGGAAAACTTCTTTCAATGAACTTTATTCTCAGAAAATTTATTAAAACTTTTCATATTAACAATTCTGCGGCAAGTAACTACCGTCCATAAAATAAATAGGTAATATAAAGAAATATAAAGAAAAAGTATCAATTGAAATTAGAAATTCAATTCAAAAAAAATCACAAAAAATAAATCAACAGAAAGAAGGCTGCTTTCAATCAACAAAAAAAAAATTGAAAAATAATGCTAGAAAACAAGCCGAAATATGTCTTCCCATTTTTAAAATTTCCTACTAATGTATGAATCCGTTTATTCATATTTAGTAGGTATTGTTGTTGTGGAAAAAACTCTGCTAAACATAGCAAGTTTTAATTCATAACACAAACAATGTTTTTCCTTTTAATTTTCAAATTGGCCATTTAAACAAGTGTGTGTACAAATGGAACCTACCTCCATTGTCAGGATTATTGGCTTCGAATGTCTTGCTAGTCATGTGGAACAGTGCATCGAGAGGAGTGTGTGGTGCTGCTGAGCCCTGCTGTGGCGCTCGCCGGGGCTCCGAGCAGCAGTCTGACGCAGACGAGGATCTTTCGGAAGCAGAATCACAGCACTCAGCTGGTGCCATGTCTCGCGGCCTCAACAGCCCCAGAGCCGCCAACCTCCATCTTTCTCCATCTAGCAACGCAGCACCAGCCAACCGCTGCAGCCGCTGTAATCTCTCGAACCCTGAAGCATCCCATGGACGTACTATACGCGGCGGAGTGCGCGGACTGTGAGACAAAATGTCCAAAATCGAAAAACTCTTCACACCGTCTCCTCGTCTTTCCTCTGCTGGCTCGGAAGCCATCTTCAAGCGCTTCAGTGGTCTAAAATAATCGTGAGGTGAAGGAGATCGCGACGGCGCCGGCGATGGCCGACCAACACTAATATCGTCCTCAGAACAGCTGTGTCCCGACATCGACTCCTCCTCCATTTTTCAGTTCACAGATCCATCACACAACAGTCACAAAATATTTCGGAACGTTCAGTTGATAGTGTTTATCTCACAAAAACATGAAGCTAACACGAGATACGGCTGACGGCTCGACGCGCCTCGTTCAACTGACGTGGCGGGTGACAGCCCTGGCTCGGGCGGTGAACGAAGGCGTGGCCCATTAGGCTGCGGCGAATGGGAGCAGGGCATTTTATTGCGAGTGGACTACGATTGGCTAGTGTGGGCTGGTGAGGCGCGCCGGAGTGTCACACTTGCCTCTCCAATAAAACTTTTTAATCCGGACCTGGATTGGGGGGCGAGATTCGTGGTGTGATTAATTTAGGTGCGCGGGTGGACGCGGCGCCCGGCGTGGGGTGGGGAGGGGGAGACGCCGGTTAATTACCGGGATGAAGACGCGAGTCTAACTACTCGCTCCATTATTTAGCGTCGATAAGGCCGACATTTGTCACTGGAGAAATTGCCACTTTCCTTCATTTATAGTTCATCGGTTAATTGTCTAAACTTGGCTTCGTCCACGCCGACAACAGTCGTTGGATCCACAAACTGCTTATTGGAGGGAATTTTACAGGTGTTCCATTAAATTGCTGTTTGATTTTCCTTGTGATGTTTCTGCCGGTCTGATATTAACTGCGACTTGACACTGCAATTGACTTGACAATTAAACTCACTGAAGTGTCATTATGAGATAGTTATTGCTTTTTATTTCCCGATGTAGGTGTTCTGTGGACAGCTACCAGGTAGTTATGACCTCTTGATTATGTTGTCTGTTGTTAATCGCTGTCGTTTCTTTTATTTCCTTATCTTTTTGATTTGGATTTTTTTTGGTATTCTATAGTTTTCTTATTATTTGTTAATTTTTTCTACTATTTTATGAGGTCTTTTTTTTAAAGGGGGAAAATCATCGAATGACTGCTCCCGCCTGGATGAGGCGGAAGGGAGTGTCAGACTCTTACTGACTTAGAGATAATATTTCGTCCTGAAGACTTGATATTCATCGATATCTCAGTATTTACTGAAAAATGGTTTAAAAGATCAAAGACTACAAATAAAATTTTGTAAAAAATCCAATTTAATTTGTAGCTAAAGCTGAATCATAGTACGTTTATCGATTAATACCTACTTATACCTACCATAAAATCTAGAATAAGAAAATGTATCTTAACATTTAGCAACTCTATCTTCTTTTTCAAAGACATAATGTTCATCGGAAATTATCATAAATTATTATGTTTAATATAAAGCCCAAAAAGTTACTTCTTATAAAATTCAAATACTTAGTAGGTACCTACACCATCACACCGTTATTATTGGCGGCCATTTTGTGTGTTTACTTTCGTCAAAACGTCACGCACTGCGTCCTTTGGGGTGACCGGTGTGGAAAAATTAATCTAATTTGACATTGAGTTTATTTTTTTAACGGGGCACTGACTGGCTCCCATTCAGCCTTGTTTTGTAGGGTTGGGGTAAATGTAATATTGCCTTTTATTTGTTTCGGTACCTATTATAATATTGTGAATAGGTGGGTATAAAATAAATAAGATTTGAAACTTATTCTTAAATCAGAAATTATTTTGTTTCCTTTTCCTATATAATTTGAGTTAGCTATGTTCTGTTTCATCTTCTATAGAAGAATATCTACTTACATAGGTAAATTCTGCCTAATTTATCAAAGTCCATTTCGCTCCATATCCATATTTTAATTGGTATTGGACTTGTATTGTTCTTCCTATTAAGAACATTTTTTTATTTTATTTTTTTCAATAAACTAAGTTTATTTATCCATTAATTAAAAAACACTAACAATTGGCACTACTTAATTTGGCATTTGATTAACATAACCGTGAACCGTGACAGATATAATTAAGCATTACAATCAAATTGTTTTATCTCATAGATTAGTAATACCCAAAGGTTTATTCACCTTTATTTATTCATCAGTTAACTCATATATATTATTATTTTAAGTAGGTAAGTTGTTCTTTCCCCAATAAAATATGTGTCTAAAATGTTTTAGTACTTTCCTAATATTGAATTAGTTAATAATGAAAATAATTATTGAAACCTTACTTCTATGTATAACTCTATATGGGTTTTTACATTTTCTTACTATAACTGCAATTACCTATTCCATTAGCAATATTTGTGACAAACCGAAATCCATTTCAATTTTACCCCACACACAAACACAAAGCAAGTAATAAAATCGAATAATTATTGTAATATCTCAATAAACATAATAAACGAACAAAAACAATCAATAAAACAAACATTTCAACAGTTTAATCCATGTTATTAGTTCCGACATTATTTCCCATAAACGCGCGACCGGAACCGACGCCATATTGCGCGCTTTCCCGCGCAGACCGACCAATCAGCTTCGATTTCCGCTGCCATAGACATTGATAGTATTAACTGAGCAATTATTGATATTTTTCTATTATTATATTTGTGCTGTGGTATTATTTTTGTCTATTATCTATAGTAGGTTATGTTTTAGATTGAATTAGTTTTTCGTAATAGGTAGATAAGTTGGCTTTATAGAGTTATTATAGGAAAATGCCCTTTTATCTGTATCAGTTAATCGGAATAAGTACTTAGGTTAGGTTTGTATTAACAATAATTTTCATTAGCTTTATGTACCTACTGAGTTATTACGGGAATAAAATTGGATGCGTGAGTAACTTTGCCTACTTAGACACGAAAGTATTTTTTGTCAACCTAATGGAATGATGGCGGTGTTTGTCACGGATGAACGAATGCCTACTGATGTTATTCTTTGATCGAAAAATAGACTGTATTTACTATTAGTAGATAGTACCTAGAGGAAGAGAAGAAGCTAAAAGGTGGTCTACTCTTTATGTATGGATGTGGACAAAGCGAGTATAAATTGAGAATTACGAAAATGGGAAGATAGATAATGTCGGAAGTAATTTTGGGTAAATTTTGTGAAGACTGCTTAGAAAGAGAAAGGAGTTTCCGATAGGATAACGCCTGATAGGGGAAAATGGAAAAAGAAGACAAAGTTGTTCCCAACCCAACTTGAATTGAGACCGGGAAACCGACTGTTAGCATATACCAATACTACCTAAAATAAATTGAAATTTCGTACCTACTTAAGTATTAATTTTACCTATAGCTACATCAAAATTATTGGACCACATTACCACACTTATAAAGTACGATTAATAGGATAAAGAAACTTTCTTGCCATGTTGGGCGAGTGCTCGCAAGTTTGGTGTTGTGTCATTTAGGGTTTGATACACTGGTCGAGCAAGGCAAGGCATTAATACTTCTATATGTATTGTTGAAACACAACACCATTTCGTGTCTTATATACTCACCCACCCATTATGTATGAGTCATACATGATACATGAGGACACAGAGACTATCTAGTATCTAAGTATTTCCTAGAAACCACAGATACAATGTAATGTATCTGGTTTACAATCATCATGACCATTGAGCTCTGTACTGAGACTAAGTACCTACATAGTGAAGTAAATAATGACTTCAACAAACGATGTTTGGAATCAGCTATCTTCTGGTAGATAGTCACGTCAATGAATGCGCGTGGTGAGAAGAGGCTTCGCTCAGCAGTGGGCATTTATAGGCTGTTGATGATGACAGACAGTATTGAAAAATATGACCAAACATAGAACCTGACTTAAGTTTCAAACCTCCACTTCAATACTAAGTAAAGAAATCTTCCAGGAATCTAACACAAACAGTTTAAATAACAGGATATCCTGCTATAGAGAAAACAATCATATCTTGCCAGTTTCCCGCCCATTTCCGAGCATATTGGCGCGAGCTGTTACCGTGCAGCGCTAATGTTCACAAATTACGTCCGCTCTTCACTTGTTTCTTACTTCCATCTCCTGTATGAACGTCATTAGAAACTCTTGTGTAGGATGTATGTAGTAAAATCCTTACTAATATTATAAATTGGAAAGTGAGTTTGTTTGTTTGTTTGTTCTACTTTCACGCCGTAACTACTAAACCGATTGCTTTGAATTTTTGCAGACGTAAAGTTAGAAGCCTGGATTAAATAATAGGGTACTTTTAACCCAGAAAATTTGATATTCCCGCACGGAACAACTGTTTGTGTGATCCACAGATTGTTGTTCCGGGTCTGAGTGGCATGTGTATGTGAGCTTGTATGTTTGTAAACGCACCCACGACACAGGAGAAATCCTATTGTGAGGCAAAGTTTAATTAAATAATAATAAAAGTTACAATTTTAGGTTGTTAGGTTTGTATTAACAATAATTTCCATTAGCTCTCTGTACCTACTGAGCTATTACGGAAATAAAATTGGATGCGTGAGTAACTTTGCCTACTTAGACACGAAAGTATTTTTTGTCAACCTAATGGAATGATGGCGGTGTTTGTCACGGATGAACGAATGCCTACTGATGTTATTCTTTGATCGAAAAATAGACTGTATTTACTATTAGTAGATAGTACCTAGAGGAAGAGAAGAAGCTAAAAGGTGGTCTACTCTTTTTGTATGGATGTGGACAAAGCGAGTATAAATTGAGAATTACGAAAATGGGAAGGTAGATATTGTCGGAAGTAATTTTGGGTAAATTTTGTGAAGACTGATTAGAAAGAGAAAGGAGTTTTCAATAGGATAACGCCTGATAGGGGAAAATGGAAAAACAAGACAAAATTGTTCTAATCCCATATAACTTGAATTGAGACCGGGAAACCGACTGTTAGCATATATCAATACTACCGAAAATAAATTGAAATTTCGTACCTAGTTAAGTATTAATTTTACCTATAGCTACATCAAAATATTGGACCACAGTACCACACTTATAAAGTACGATTAATAGGATAAAGAAACTTTCTTGCCATGTTGGGCGAGTGCTCGCAAGTTTGGTGTTGTATCATTTAGGGTTTGATACACTGGTCGAGCAAGGCAACCCAGCCATCGCGAAGGACACACCGGGCGTCGGGGATCGCGGGACG